TCCGTGCTGGGACTAGAGCTCTGCAATCCAACAGTGGGAGGAAAAAGGGGGGGACAGGTCTGTGTTTCTAGCCCCATGTCTCTGCCCCCAGCCCCCTCAGCCAAATATCTCTGAATTTGTACCAATACCATAACCCTACGCAGGGTCTCTGCGAGGTCTGCCTGTGCTAAAGGTGATCAGAACATGCACTTGGATTTTAAAGCACCCTGAAATATTGGCTCTTAACAGGAGAGTTTGGTGCAGCCAGAATTAGGGAGGTGCTACCACTGCTCTCTTATCAGCGTCTCATTCTTTTGCCCCGATAAGATCACCCAGGAATGATGCACCTGGGTTACTCGTGTATTATATAGACACTAGCCACGAAATGGCTGTGTTAATACCCCAGCGTTTCTTTTTATGTTGGTGTTACTGCATATGTGGAAACAGCAGCTCTCGAGGCTGTGGCCTCCATTCCCGATTTGCTAATTTACAGACTTTCTTAATTGCAAACTGTATCTGGATGTATGCAAGTCCACTGGGCAGATCGAGAGAAGTGATTCTTCCTCTTTCTTTGGTTCCGGATGTGGAGTTGTGTGTCCAGTTTGGGGTGTACAGAAAGGATGTGGACACGTTAGAGAGAGTCCAGTGGAGGGCAGTGAAAATGGTCCAGGGGCTGAGGCACGGGACTGATGAGGAGAGGCTGAGGGAGCTGGGTTTATTTAGTTTGGAGAAGAGAAGACCGAGGGGGGATTGAATAGCAGCCTTCACCTCCCTGCAGGGGGGTTGCAAAGAGGATGGAGCTGGACTGTCCTCAAGGAGTAGATGACAGAACAAGGTTAAGCAAGAGAAGCTGAGGCTGGAAATTAGGAAAAACTTTCTCACTAGGAGGGTGGTGAAGCGCTAGAACGGGCTACCCAGAGAGGTGGTGGCATCTCCATCTTGGAGGTTTTTAAGACCTGGCTCGACAAAGCCTTGGCTGGGATGAAGTAGCTGGGGCTGGTCCTGCTCGGAGCAGGGGGTTGGACTCGATGTGACCTCCTGAGCTCCCTTCCCACCCTTGTTTTCTATGACTCTCTGATGTAATAGCAGACTTTCACTACGTGCAGCGGGGCTTTAAAGAGGATGGAGCGGGACTTTCCTCAGTGCTGGCAGATGACAGAACAAGGAGCAATGGGCTCAAGTTGCAGAAAGGGAAGTTGAGGTTAGATGTTAGGAAAAACTGTCTCACCAGGAGGCCAATAAAGCACTGGAACAGACTCCCCAGAGAGGTGGTGGACTCGCCATCCTTGGAGGTGTCTAAGACCCAGCTAGACAGATCCCTGGGCAGGATGCTATAGCTGGGGCTGGTCCTGCTTGGAGCAGGGGGTTGGACTAGATGTGATGTCCTGAGGTCCCGTTCAACCCTCATGTTTTATGATGCTATGATCTGACTCTTGCCGAGGAAGCTGGTGCATGGCAGCCTAAAAAGCAGGGCGGTTGTTGTCCAGGGCTCTCTGGGAGCCTCCCTGTCTTTCATTCGTATTCTTAGATGTACAAACCCCACACTTACTCCATTCAGCAAGTACACAGCAGTCAATGGGGCGAGCTCCCCTACTGCTCCAGCTCTGACTTGCCTCCCGCTCTGTAGCCTCCCTTGTCTTTCAAAATAGGATGCGTCAAACGTCAAGGATGTGACCGCTCGGACTGTCCGCGGTTACCGAGACGGAGAAGGGCCGTTCGCAGGAAGTGGCAGCAATCTGCCAGGGGAAGTTTCATCCTTCCCGTGCCAGTCTCCCACGCCCCTCACACAAGGCCTGATCCTGCATGAGTGAAATCGGTTGTACAACTCCCCTGTGACCAACTCAGAAATATCCGATGACCGAGTAGGAGCAGCTCTGTCACCCGCTCTGGGTGTGGAAACGGGCTCGTGATAGGAAGCGTAGGGAGATGTCTGCACATCCAAGAGCCAAACTGTCCTTGCGTCTTCTTGCTCCTGACATCCGAGCTGCGGCAGAGCAGTGTTCAGACAGCCGCCCGCTTTAAAAGACGGCATCAACATTGCAATTTTAAAGCCTTTATAAGCTCTGTGGCTGTCACTCCGGTTTGTGCGCTGAGCTCCCCAAGCCCGCCAGCCTGAGCGGGAGGGCTCGGGGAGGCAGTTTGGAAAACGAGATAAAAACGCTGCAGTAACGGCAAACCCCCTCGCCGAGCCGTTGTTGCTGCAACAGGACGGTTTCTTAAGTTCCTGTCTCTCACCAACCTGACCCTGACAGTTCCTGCACACCCCACCCCAAAAACGGGTGAAAGGCTCCGGGATTTGGGACAAGATGTATTTTGCTTGTATCTCCATCTGGTTAATAAGTGCCGTGTTACCCGTCGGAAAGTATGCCGTGCTGGAAGTTAGTGGAAAACCAGCCGGGTGGCCGACAGCCTGCGCGATCACAGCTTTAGCATCCTATTATTGCAGGAGAGGCTCCCCCATGCCCCCACCCAGCCAGTGTGCCCAAGGCTGAGTGTGGGAGGCTAGGGGCAAGGGAGTCCCAGGCAGGGGTGGATTTCCTCGCTCCCTGGAGCTGTGAGGGGCCGGGTGGACCGCTCTGCTTGGCGGCTGCTCCGGGCACTGTTTCTACCGCACGAACTCAGCGTTGCCACCCCTGAGAACGAAAAAAAATCCCGTGCCCCTGAAAGATCGGGAGCCTGACTTTGCGCTGATAAACGTGAGTGTCTTTTTTTTATGCCAGGCCTCGGGGCGGCTCTTTGAGGGCCCCGTCTTCCCTCTTTTACGCAGCGGTTCTCAAGCTTTTTACACCCCAGGCAGCCCTCTCCCCTCCCAAGGCTCAGGGCTCCTCTGGTTAGCAGCGGTCTCAGGTTTCCTCCACCTGGCCTCGCTGCAGCGCACGTGAACCCCCTCTGCAGCGGCAGCTGCGGGCCCCCTGCTTTCCCCGGGGCAGGGGCGGGGGCGATTCATGCCCAGGGGCGGGGGGTAATGCCCTGGGGCAGGGGTGATTGATGCCCAGGTGCAGGAAGCCATTGATGCCCAGGGGCAGGGGCAATTGATGCCCACATTTGGGGGCGATTGATGCCCAGGGGTGGGAAGCCATTGATGCCCAGGGGTGGAAGTGATTGATGCCCTGGGAGGGGGCGATTGATGCCCGGGGTGGGGGCGATTAATGCCCAAAGGTGGAAGTGATTGATGCCCTGGGGAGGGGGCGATTAATGCCCAAGGGTGGAAGTGATTGATGCCCTGGGGAGGGGGCGATTAATGCCCAAGGGTGGAAGTGATTGATGCCCTGGGGAGGGGGCGATTAATGCCCAAGGGTGGAAGTGATTGATGCCCTGGGGAGGGGGCGATTAATGCCCAAGGGTGGAAGTGATTGATGCCCTGGGGAGGGGGCGATTAATGCCCAAGGGTGGAAGTGATTGATGCCCTGGGGAGGGGGCGATTAATGCCCAAGGGTGGAAGTGATTGATGCCCTGGGGAGGGGGCGATTAATGCCCAAGGGTGGAAGTGATTGATGCCCTGGGGAGGGGGCGATTAATGCCCAAGGGTGGAAGTGATTGATGCCCTGGGGAGGGGGCGATTAATGCCCAAGGGTGGAAGTGATTGATGCCCTGGGGAGGGGGCGATTAATGCCCAAGGGTGGAAGTGATTGATGCCCTGGGGAGGGGGCGATTAATGCCCAAGGGTGGAAGTGATTGATGCCCTGGGGAGGGGGCGATTAATGCCCAAGGGTGGAAGTGATTGATGCCCTGGGGAGGGGGCGATTAATGCCCAAGGGTGGAAGTGATTGATGCCCTGGGGAGGGGGCGATTAATGCCCAAGGGTGGAAGTGATTGATGCCCTGGGGAGGGGGCGATTAATGCCCAAGGGTGGAAGTGATTGATGCCCTGGGGAGGGGGCGATTAATGCCCAAGGGTGGAAGTGATTGATGCCCTGGGGAGGGGGCGATTAATGCCCAAGGGTGGAAGTGATTGATGCCCTGGGGAGGGGGCGATTAATGCCCAAGGGTGGAAGTGATTGATGCCCTGGGGAGGGGGCGATTGATGCCCAAGGGTGGAAGTGATTGATGCCCTGGGGAGGGGGCGATTGATGCCCAAGGGTGGAAGTGATTGATGCCCTGGGGAGGGGGCGATTGATGCCCAAGGGTGGAAGTGATTGATGCCCTGGGGAGGGGGCGATTGATGCCCAAGGGTGGAAGTGATTGATGCCCTGGGGAGGGGGCGATTGATGCCCAAGGGTGGAAGTGATTGATGCCCTGGGGAGGGGGCGATTGATGCCCAAGGGTGGAAGTGATTGATGCCCTGGGGAGGGGGCGATTGATGCCCGGGGGTGGGGATGATTGATGCCCAAGGGTGGAAGTGATTGATGCCCTGGGGAGGGGGCGATTGATGCCCAAGGGTGGAAGTGATTGATGCCCTGGGGAGGGGGCGATTGATGCCCGGGGGTGGGGATGATTGATGCCCAAGGGTGGAAGTGATTGATGCCCTGGGGAGGGGGCGATTGATGCCCGGGGGTGGGGATGATTGATGCCCAAGGGTGGAAGTGATTGATGCCCTGGGGAGGGGGCGATTGATGCCCGGGGGTGGGGATGATTGATGCCCAAGGGTGGAAGTGATTGATGCCCTGGGGAGGGGGCGATTGATGCCCGGGGGTGGGGATGATTGATGCCCAAGGGTGGAAGTGATTGATGCCCTGGGGAGGGGGCGATTGATGCCCG